GATGTCAATTTTGAAATAAGTTCTACTGTGGGTAAAATGCCATCAAACAGCATTGCACGCTACAGAGAAATATTCTATAAAAGGAAAAGTCAATCAACATGGCAAATCTTATTGTTGTCTTATTTTAAGAAATTGCCACAGCCACCCTAACCTTTGCCCACCATTGCCTAATCACTAAGCAGCCAACATTAAGACAAGACTCTATCAGCAAAAAAAAATATGACTCACTGAAGGTTCAGATGACAATTAGCATTTTGGATCAATAAAACATTTTAAATTAAGGTATGTATATTGTTTTTGTGGCATAAAGCTATTGCACACTTAATAACTACAGTGGAGTATAAACATAACTTTTATATGTGTTGGATTTATAGAATTATTGCAATGTTATTTTTTCAATAATTATTGCAATTTCCACTTTACAATAAATTTGCAACTTTTTTGCAATATTCACTTTATTGCAGTAGTCTGAGACTGAACCCACAATATCTCTGAGGTTTGCCTACGTTAGGTCTGTTTCTAACACTAATTTACTATATTGATATGTGACAATAAGTCATTAAATATATTTTTATTGTGAAATGTAGCATGCAAGCACAAGTCCATGAGATTAAATAGATGTGTATTTCAAAGGATGATAATAATTCAAAGACACACAGTTTAATAAATAATGTTACCAATATGATTGACATATCCCTTTGACTACATCATAACTCTCCCCACATACTCCAAAATCACACGATTTAACCATTATGATATATTTTTTGATAATCATCTTGTTCTTTATATTTTTATTATATGTATATTTATTTATATTTATATGTATATTATATGTATATTTATTTCTAATGACATATGATTCAAACCGGCTTCTTGACAGGGTTCTGGGACTCAAAGTGGCTAGCTTGGCTTCTTCACAACATGGCAGTAAGCTTCCAAAAAGGAGCATTCCAAAGCAAACATATCCAATGTATAAGGATTTATCAAGTGTTGCTTGCATCATGCTTGCAAATGTCTTATTGGTCAAGCCTAGAGGGGGAAATGCGCAACCCAGGGACATGCATATTGGGAGATGTGATTCACTGGAGACCACCAAAGTCATAGTCTAGCACAGTTATCTAAAAAGCTACATGTGCAATATCACAAAATTATTTATCTGGATAGTAGCTGCCCAAATGTCAAGTTAGAATTTGATGTAAGGTTTTTACTACCTAGAATGGATGCTAAGAAATGAGACACTTTATTTGGTCTTAGATGGAGAGAAAAAAAAAATCTGAGAGAAGGAAGATAAAATGTGAGCAATACTAGAAAAACTGAAAACTTGATTTATATTATTAGATTATTTAGCCAGATCTTGTTAAATCTTCCAGCTATCCCCTGTGGATCATCAGAGCCAAATTTAGAGGTAATACCACTCAATAGTTGGGGGAAAAATGAATGCAGGAACTATGATACAGAAATTTACATGTTTCCTATCTTAGCTACGGCCCGAGTTTAAAATATAGCTTATATTATCCACCAAACAGAACCACCTTTTAGCAGCATGATGATTTTTCTTGATGTAACTATAGTGGAAAATATTTGAAATTCTACATTTTGTTGTCATTTTTGCTGCCTTCACAAACAGCCATAACGATAGACTCATCCTCAATAACAGAGCAGTCTTTAAATAATAAACTTGCATTGACAGAAACTCTTGCACAGTCAGATTGGAGAGGGCTGAAGTGGTCTCTCTAGAAGCCCAGAGACTGGATGAGTACCATAGCAACATGATTTCAAGTCAGCGGAATAACCATGAAATCAAAGAGTGAGGGAGCAACTGTGGGATCTAGCACATTTAGCAAAACTAATCAAACCGAGGTCAGTAGCTGGTATAAGCTGTAAAGGGAAAAGATAAACTCCAGTGACAGGTTCTTAAAATATTGTCCACAGACATGTTAAAACAACAGTATTGTGTTGAGGTATTGCAGAAAGGGCACAGCTCAGTTCAGCAATGTTTGCCACCGCAGACAGCTAAACTGTCTTAATGAGCAGCTTCCAAAATGAAATATAATAGATAGAAGAGATGGACTGTTGGAAAAATAAGTATGGTTTAACTCCAAAGGTCTTGCTGACAATAAATCCTGATATTCTCCTGTTCATTCCATGGATGGATGTATTGAGCTACATTCCATCCCATCACATACCTAAGACCACACAAGTTATTTTAAATCACTTTCTGGGGAACACTGTGTTTTCTAAACTATGTCATAAAAATTTACTTATCTGACCTTAGGCAACCCATTTTACCTATCTGTGTTACAGTTTTATTATTTTTAAAATAGAAGATTTGCCCCCCTCCAAATAATTTCTGGCTCTAATATTTTGTTGTGGTTCCTGTTATCAACCAGTCCCTGGATAAGCTCTAGGTATACAAAGTGGCAAAAAGCACTCTTCAACAAATTAGTTACCTGGAACTCTCAAATAAATTCATAAAAATATAAATAATAAGCCAGTATGAGTTAAGTATAATATTTAAATATATATATATATATTTATATGTGTATATATATATATTTATATATATATATATATATACATGGGCCGGGTGTGGTGGCTCATGCCTATAATCCCAGCAATTTGGGAGGCTGAGGCAGGTGAATCACCTGAGGACAGGAGTTCAAGACCAGCCTGGGCAACTTGGTGAAACCCTGTCTCTACTAAAAATATAAAAATTATCTGGATGTGGTGGCTGGTGCCTATAGTCCTAGTTAACTAGGAGGATGACGCAGGAGCCTGGGTTGCAGTGAGCCGACATCGTACGACTGCACTCCAGCCTGGGAGAGAGAGTGAGACTCTGTCTCAAAAAAAAAAAAAAAGGAAACAACTATAGGAAGTCCTCCAAGAATTGAGAGAAAGTAGAAATCACTTTGGGCCAATAGTTTTGAAAATCTTTCTAATAGTGGGTAGAAGTTGGATAAAATAGAGAAGTTGAGCAAACTGCAAGATGGTGACTGAAGTGAGTTTAGGTATGGAGGCAGATATTTAACTTTGGCCTTGAATAAGCTAACCACTACTGTCTGCAATGGTGTCTCCATGTATGTTTTCCCAGATGTCTAAATATTTAGTCTAGATATGCACATGCTCTTTTATTTACATCACTTAGTCTTTTTCCTTTGCCCTATTAACAGATGCCTACTATTCCTACTGGGGAGAAACCTAGACTGACAATTAATATAAAAAGTGTCAGCATTGTACTGTGTCTCACTTAAACAGTGCATTTTTTTCTAGTTGAGCATTCTTCTACTTAACACACTCCTCATTTTTTCCTCAAAAGTATCTGCTATGAAAAATAAAAGCAGATCACCCCTCTGATCATGTAAATGGTCCGATGTCATTAAACTATATACCTAATCTCTCTATGTCAACACTCCCTGAGTACATAAGAATCATCTCAAATTCAATAATTTAGACAATCAAAGAATGGTTGCTGCTCTCATATTATCAATGTACAATATATAGATCAATTCAAGGTAGCACAGAACATATATTTTGCTTTCCAAGTCACTGTAGAAAAGACATGTAGGTGAGTTTTAACATGAGTAGATGTATGAAGAACTTGAAGCAGACAATCTTAGAGCTCTGCTTCTCATCCTTTGGACACCTGCAGTGATGACGGCCCACCTGCAGCTCGATGGGGACCATTCTACAGGAGATCAGGCTCCCACTGCAAGAACTGTATTTCAAACACAACATATGACTCTGTACCTTCCTGCCTTTGGGATCTCACCAAGACTGCAAAACTTTGTCACAATTCTCAACCCCACTAACATCAGACACTGGAAAGTTAATATATGCAAAAAAGTGTTTTACTATTCTGACACTGTGAAGAAAACTGCAGTTGGTACATTTACATATCATTTTATTTGAAATATTTTATTGTAATTATTTCTTATCACGTGAAACATATTTACTTCCCAAATAATTTTTTTATGAATTTCAAAATGTGTAAGTTTGGCTCAGTGACCAACTGAACCCAAATACATTGCTATCTGTATCTTATTTTCTTAGTGGGAAGAATAAAAACAGTACTGAAGTGAAAGCAATTTTGTCGTCAAGGACATAGTCACTGAGAAGGACCGTTCAGCAGTTACGAGGTTGGTAGCGGTGGCAATAGGCCCCTGAACCTGGTGTTCAGCACTGGAGATTCTCAGCATGGGCAACATGTTATCAGGAAGCAGCCACTATTAGGAATAAAGACAGGAAGTCAAAGTGATAACAAGTGAGATAGAGAAGTAGTCAGAATAGTGGAATTCAAGACGGCCGAAGCCATCTAACACACCTCCTAATTTTGTCAAAGCAGTTTTGGAACAGGAAGAGGTGCAGTGTGGTAAGAAAATGCATAAATGATTCATGGTGTGTATTCCAATTGTAAATAAGTGTTGCACTTAAAGCTAGATGTCCTCTCATTTTTAAAAATATAACATGCTTGTTATGTCTTAAATAATAAAAAAGAGAATTACAAAGCTGAGAAATAAACAATGCCACATCTGGGGTGGGAGTTGACGTAAGATTAGCACATGAAAACGTTTGGGCTAAACAGTTATTTCTGCATTGCGAAACATCCAGACTTAAATGGAATCTTCTACACTGACAGCCTCTTTGAAAGATGGCTTATGCATGCCCATGACTTATGCATGCTCATGGGAGCTGGTAATATGCATTCCAAGCTGCAATTGCACTTCTGTAAAACATAGACCTATTTTAAACTGTAACCTTTCTCCATAATTCAATTTCTCCACATTATATACCTGGTGTTTATTCAGTGTCTTCTATATTTAAAAATAAACATAATTTGAGAAACATACATATAAAAATCTGTAAAACAATTTTTCAAAGTTCCAAAGACGGCGAAAAAGCAAAGGGCATAGTAAAAAAGGAAGAGGATTTTTTAGACCAAAAACAACCTAGACTTTCTGACAAAAATTAAATATGTTTTTGTCTCTAATTTACTGGCCTACCTGAGTAATGCCAGAAAAGTTGTCACGTAAATCCATGAAGCATCATGCACTAAGATATTCACCACGATATCATTGAGGGTAACAGGGAGCTGGTTACAGCCTAGATTTTCCTAAGATGATATATAAAAGAATTATAGTTAATTCACACTGTGAAATGCATGATGCAGTTAAAAAATAAATTTTAAGGGAATAGAATAACATTGAAAATATAGTAAACATTTTCTATAAAGAGATATGTTTTAAAAAAGCGTTAAACAAGAGAGAAAACATCGATTAAGTTTATAAAATACAAAAACAAAAAAAACCTTGAACACATGTGCATTTGCACATGTAGACACACAGGACATATATCAAAGATGCTGAACAGATTGCGCTTGGAAGAGGTAAAATAGTAGGTATTGAGAGGAAGGAGACAAACGGTACAGCTACAGAAGGTCTTATATGGAAAACAGAAGAAATACATTGGAAATAGAAGGACTCTAAGTAATTAACGCATTAAACTCAGATTTTCTTTTTTCAGGTATCAGGTATCACAAAACTATGAATGCCAGAATAAATTCTTTCAGAAAGGGAGTCATGGGAGACAGAAAGTGGTAAAGAGTTTATATAATTAAAGTGATAGTTTTAGGTCATTATAACATAAAGGTTCTGAAATTAAATAATAGCACTCTAATTTTTTTAGTTATATATAAATAAAAGATACAAATGTATATGAACAAGATTCAGCTGCTAGTAATCACAAAAAAGAAAGATGAAAGCATAAGAAAATGTACTGCTATGATCAAGGATTTTTCTATATTTTATTTAAAAATTTGTTTAAATTATGTATTTACACATTTATGATTTTATATTTCATTTTGCATTTGTCTTATTTTCAAAACTTCAATATTTAGCATCCTACTTATATAATTACATAACTATTCCTTATGAGTCATGAAATATGATAACATATTTATATCTTGTCAAACATAGCCAAAGCTCTTCCCCTTCCTGAACTAGGGAAAAAGGTTATATCTATATTCTCAGGAAATGAACTGCCATGGGTATTTGAAGTGACTAACCCAGCACCTACACCCAAAAAGGATTTAAAAATTACTTTTATAACCTAGCAGTTGCTAATTTCAAATTAGCTTTCATAGAGAAGATTTTTCTAATGGACCACAATTTGGTTGCATATGTTATACATAAATGACTATTTAGTACATAATCCTAGAATTGCAGGGACCATACATACATACACACACACACACACACACACACACACATACACACACACCCCTCACCCACTCACATGAATCCATGCTCTTAGCTTAGACTTTGGTTGCTATCCTGTCTTCCATTGGTTGCTATCCTCTCTTCCATTGGTTGCTCTCCTCTCTACCAGTGAGAATAAGACCTGGCACCATAAAAACCCTAGAAGGAAATCTAGGCAAAACCAATCAGGACATAGGAATAGGCAAGGACTTCATGAACAAAACACCAAAAGCATTGGCAACAAAAGCCAAAATAGACAAATGGGACCTAATGAAACTCCACAGCTTCTGCACGGCAAAGAAACATTCACTAGAGTGAATTGGCAACCAACAGAATGGGAAAAAATGTTTGCAGTTTACCCATCTGACAAAGGGCTGATATCCAGAATTTACAAAGAACTCAAACAGATTTACAGGAAAAAAACAAACAAGCCCATTCAAAAATGGGCAAAGGATATGAACAGACACTTTATGAAAGAAGACATATATGAGGCCAACAATCATATGAAAAAATGCTCATCGTCACTGGTCATCAGAGAGATGCAAATCAAAACCACATTGAGATACCATCTCACGCCAGTTAGAATGGTAAACATTAAAAAATCTGGAGACAACAGATGCTGGAGAGGATGTGGAGAAAAAGGAACACTTTTACACTGTTGGTGGGAGTGTAAATTAGTTCAACCATTGTGGAAGACAGTGTGGCGATTCCTCAAGGCCTTAGAGATAGAAATTCCATTTGACCCAGCAATCCCATTACTGGGTATATATCCAAAGGACTATAAATCATTCTACTATAAGGACATATGCACACTAATGTTCATTGCAGCACTGTTTACAATAGCAAAGACCTGGAACCAACCCAAATGCCCATCGATGATAGACTGGACTGGGAAAATGTGGCACATATACACCATGGAATATTATGCAGCAATCAGAAATGGTGAGTTCGTGTCGTTTGTAGGTACATGGATGAATCTGGAGAACAACATTCTCAGCAAACTGACACAAGAACAGAAAATGAAATACCGCATATTCTCACTCATAGGCGGGTGAGAACAGATGGACACAGGGAAGGGAGTACTACACACTGGGGTCTATTGGGGGGAATAGGGGAGGGACAGTGGCAGGGGGAGCTGGGGAGGGATAGCGGGGGGAGAAATGCCAAATGTGGGTGAAGGGGAGGAAGGCAGCAAAACACACTGCTATGTGTGTACCTATACAACTGTCTTGCATGTTCTGCACATGCACCCCAAAGCCTAAAATGCAATAAGAAAAATAAAAACTTAAAAAAAAAAAAGACTCTACATCCATGAAACTCTTAAAAGAAGGATCATGAATTTCTGATGTCCCAAAACGCCAAGACAGTAAGAGTCATACAGGATTCTAGATCACTGGTAGGCAGAGAAAGTGAGAACAGTAATGGCAAAATTCTGACATTGAAGGCTCCCATGAGAACTTCAGGTGTGGAGGAGTAGGGTCTGTGGTGCAAAATCCACCTTCTCTGGTTGTACCATAAGTTGATTCCATAAGAATTGTGAGGAAATTGGTGCACCCCTCTTGCATGCCAACTTAGAACTAAGTTAGGTTGAAAATAAAAGCACTCTTCTGATGTCTTATTTCAATTTTTTTTAGAGTATAAGAAGGCAACAAAGCCTCAGTGAAGTTATCCAAAAAATATTGTCTATTGTATTTGGAGTATTAGTAGTTAATAGTTACTATTCATTTTATTATGAATACTATTAATAGTATACTGCATAATATAGTTTTATATTAATATTTGTATAATAGTTTTTAGTTATTGATACTATTATTACATTATAACAGTCGTAATATTTTTTTTCTTATTGGAATTAAAGAGCTAGAAAAAAAAATCCAAGGAACATAATTCTTGTATTTCTTTCTTCCTAGAGATGTCAATTCTCTATCTGGATAAAAATACAGCATGTCATATTCTGCAAGGCAGACATTGGATTTAAATGGAAAATGTGTGGCACCTGTATTCTTGTTTCAATCTCTTTATCTGCATCTGATGTGTCAAATTATCAAGAAACTCTTTAGACAAAGAATAGGACAAGAGAATTACGTAAGTGCTCATAAGCTTTCATCTTTCATAAATTGTCATAAAGCATAAAGATAAGATTCAAAAAAGGCTGCTGTTTATAAGTCCCTGCTTGTAGAATGGCTTCTGTGATCCTGCCATTGTTCTACATGTTGTCTCTTCAAATTCCGGCAGGTATGCAATATCTCATACAGCAGCTTTTGGGAACAGTACTTGAATAATAAAACTTTGCAAGCTGATACTTATGAAAATAGAAGAAAGGTTTATTTTTTTAACTCCAAATACAGTCAAAATCTGGTCATTGTCAGTGGTATAAGATGCAAAGTAAATACCGAAAGTGCGATTCAAAGTCAGTCTATGTAATTCTACTTAATGTGATTATGAAAAAGTATTAAAATATAGCAACTAGGAACTTAATTGATGTATTGAGTGAAAGAAAAAAATAATAAAAGTCATCTGTCAGAAAATATTTTTTTCTCTTTCTCTAAATCAAAATTTAAAAATCACTGATGCTTTAGAACATTTGTTTTTTACTAGAAATTATTTTAAAGACACAGCCCTAATAAATAATTACCTAAAGATAATTTAAGTTAAAGTCAGATTAATATTAAGTAAGATTTATAACCATTATGTTGGAATAAGCTTTAATTATAAATCTTATTGAATATTTTATTGCCCTTAACAAATCTTAATGAAAATCTGGGCAAAAGCAAGAATCTATATTTTAATTAAAATAAAATAAGAATTTGAATTGAAAGTGGTTTTTTTCAGCTAAAAAATAAGTATATAGGCTTCAAAAAAAATAAAGCTCTTTTTAAATTTTTTTAAAAGCTCTTATTTTTTTAAAATAAGCTTTTTTATTTTTTTAAAAGCTCTTATTATTGTGAATTCAAAATACACAAGGAATTCTTAAATTTAACAGTAGGAAAGCAAACAACCCAATTTTTAAAATGGGTAAAAGATCTAAGCAGAGAAACCTCATCAAACAAGATACACAGATGAACAAAAGTAAATGAAAAAATGTTTAAATTAAAATAACAAGAGATACTGCTACACTATACATCTATTAGAACAGGTAAAATTCCAAAACTAAAGTACTACTTGCTGATAGAGCAACTGAAGCTCTCATTCATTGCTGGTGGGAATGCATAACGGTACAAACATGTTAGAAGGCAGTTTAGCAGTTTTTTGCAAATCTAAACATACAATCCAGTGAATATCCTAAGTATTTACTTTCAAATTTGTGCCTCCACAAAAGCCTACCTGTCAATGTGTATAGAAACTGAATCCATAATCATCAAAAACTGGAAGCAATCAGATGTCTTTTGACAGAAGAATGGATAAACAAACTGATAGATCCATATAACGGATGCCACTTAGTAGCAAAAGGAAATTAGTTATCAACCTATGAAAAAACAGAGATGAATCGTGTGTGTGTGTGTGTGTGTGTGTGTGTGTGTGCGTGTCCATGTGTGTGTGTGTTTTAGAGAAGCCAATCTGAATATGATACATACTATTCAACTCCAATCATATAGCATTTTGGCAAAGGAAAATTTACAGAGACAATAATAAATCGGTAATTACCAGGCATTCTGGGAAAGTAGAGGTTTGAAGGTATGAGGCACAGAACATGTTTCAGAGCTCTGCAACTATTCTGTACAATTAGACTATAATTTGGGTACACAACACATACATTTGTCAAAATCGACAGAACTTTACAGCTCAAATTTATGTATGCAACTTTTTAAAATATCATTTAGGAAGTAAAGGGAAATCCCAGAATAGAATGCA